TTGGACATGTCCAGAGGAGGGACAGTGGTTTGGACATGTCCAGAGGACGGACAGTGGTTTGGACATGTCCAGAGGAGGGACAGTGGTTTGGACATGTCCAGAGGAGGGACAGTGGTTTGGACATGTCCAGAGGACGGACAGTGGTTTGGACATGTCCAGAGAAGGGACAGTGGTTTGGACATGTCCAGAGGAGGGACAGTGGTTTGGACACGTCCAGAGGAGGGACAGTGGTTTGGACATGTCCAGAGGACGGACAGTGGTTTGGACATGTCCAGAGGAGGGACAGTGGTTTGGACATGTCCAGAGGAGGGACAGTGAGCATATTGGTAGAAGGATGTTAGAAATGCAGCTGCAGGAAAAAGACAGGAGATACATGGATGCAGTTAGAGGACATGGAGGTAGTTGGAGTGAGGACTGAGGACAGAGTGAGGACAGAGGACAGAGTGAGGACAGAGGGGGACTCACTGTGGAGACCCCTGAAGAGGGAAGTGATGAAAGAAGAAGAAGAAGAAACAAACTGAATTTGATGTATCAAATTGTTCTGACCCTTTGTACCGTCGTTGTCTCACCACTAGGTGTGGACAGATTCCTTTACTTCGTCACTGACATGTTCAGAGTCACCTGTTCACTCATCTAACCAGGTTAAATCTGGCCCTCTGGACGATTCTTCTGGTTGAAATGTTTCTTTTTTATCCAAAAGACTTATTCAGTCTAAGGAGCTGCAATAAACTCAGTCATATAAGCACCACCTTCTCATGGTGGATCAACCAGTTTGCGGTTGACATCCAGAACTAGCTGTTCACATGAGAAAGGAGGACCATCAACGTAACAATCATTAAACAGGCAGAGGCCTCCGTGTTCAACTGTCCCCCTCCAACAATCCTGTTATTAGTATCACCCAGTCCTCTGCGAATAGCAAGCAGCCATCAGGGTGCTATTTCAATTCAGTTTATTTCTTCAGCTCCAAGTCACAACAGAAGTCGTCTCAGGGACTGAACAAAAACATTCATCTATAAAATAATAATTGAACAGAAACATTCATCTATA